TACCCCAGTTAAATATAGGCACTATCCATTGATACTTGTGAAACCATAAAAATGGTTATTTCCTAACTTGTGAGTTCTTAACTTTGCCACCTTAATATTGTTCTTTCAAACGTTTTTTACACGTAATTTTTCAAAGGTAAAAATTAAAACAAGTTCTATTACTGCAACTATTACAAATACTTTTTTGTGTACCATCAATTGACTTTTAACCACAAATGTCAGCTTTGCAGCATAAATTTTTACCACTTAAAACAACTGATTATTTACTCCAAGATGATAACCTTCTCCCAGCTCCAGCTAGGGTGGAGATGGACCACTGGTCCCTTAAGGAGTGATGAGAGGAGAAGAATGAGGGGCAGAAGGAACACAAACATCTGCCTGTCACCGATCACAAAAGTTCGAGGCAAGACCTATGAGAGAAATTTTGTGAGGCTGGTACATCCTGCTAGGGCTCCCTCTTCATTTTGAAAACAGGAAATAGGGGTGACCTGATCCCACCCCCCCCTCCTCCCCCAGCTTGGGGGTCTGTACTCCCATTGTCTCCCCATATGCTTTGGTTGGAGGAATGTCTCGTCTTATGTGGTGTCCCCAAAAGGAGGGATAGATTATTGAAGCCAGGGCACTGAGCATGGGCTGGGTGGGAAAAACTGAGCAAACTCAGCCCAGTTCCTTCTCCCCCAAACAAGAGTAAAGGATTTGAGGAAGAGAAGTGAGAAAAGGAAAACAGCAATTTACAAGCTCCCTCAAATCCGTAACTTAGTAAACAATGAATGAAAATTTGTGCAACACAGGAAAAGTACTTCTGTAGTCTAAAGACTATCTCCTTGAAAAACTACCAAAAATCTGCTGCAAGCAATGCAGATTCAAGAGTTCTTCCAAAGCAGCTGCTCTAGAACGTATGTGATATCTTCCAAATGTAATGAAAGCTGGTAGGAACGCTTCTAAAAGAAGAAAAACCAAAAACAGTCACGATAATGGACAGCAGCAATCTGGCTTATCTACAGAAAATAAACTATAGCAGCCTCTACATTAAGGCACTGCTATCTCTAATCTTTGATTAAGCAACTGTAAGTCTCTGTTCAAAGTTGCGTTGTGCAGAATAAAATGTAGGCTTGGAGATTTATTTTAGAACTGTTACCAATGCAATCCAAAACCAAGAAAAGTTTGCTTTGTTTGTAAGACTGGTTACAGTCTTTTAGAAACTCTGGAAAGTACTGCCACAACAACCTACGTCTGAGACTGTACAGAACCCACAATTTTGTGGAAAGGGTGATCAGACTCTTTCTTTTTGTTAGATCCATTTCGTTTATCCAGGCTCTCCATTTACTGGCTTTTCTTTAAACTTCTACTCAAAGCTGATAATCAGTACCCATCTATCATCTGACGTAATAGAGGTGCCAAGCCTTTATTGCTTTAATTATGATACCGGCTCCATTGTGTTGGGATCCAAATACTCTTACATGCGTTTAGTTTGAACAACTGATGTTTAATTGTTCAAACTAAGGATATTTTGCTGTGATGTAATCCAATGAATTCCATCACTTAAGAACATGGCTGATAAACACCAATTGCATAACTACACATTTCCCTCCAGGTTTAACGTAAATTAGTTAAACATTATAGCATTTATTCACATGTTGAGAATTACCTCAGAATGTGGGACAGACCCCTCACTAGTGAGAACAAGCATGAGAAACAACACTGAAGTTCAGTGGGCTTCTCTTCCAATGCATAAACACATCCAAATTAATCCCAAAACTATGACAGAGCTCTCAAACTGAGGAAGAGCAAACAGTTTCATTAGTCAGAAATTGTCACCTAACGAGCGAGTTGTAAAAAACTATTATTCACAGGACAACTTGTTCCACTTCTAGCTATAAAGCATTACTATACCAATCATTCCCACTAAATTAAGTTTTTAAATCTCTTGAGGGGAAAGTATTTCTGATATTACTAGTCCGTTTTCTCTCTCCTCTATCAGGCAAGCTTCTGATGAAATGAGCTTCAGCTCACGGAAGCTTGTGCTATGCATCTACTCTGGTTAGTCTGAGTCCACCCTGCCTTTCATTTACTGATATGCAAACTAAACATGGTATCAATTAGGAAAAACTAAATATGGGCCTAGTCCTGCCTCTCTTGCTTATACTAAGCACAGTCTTCTTCCATAAGCAAGCCTACTTACTTCAGAATCAGTACAACTGGGAAGGTCCTGTGCAGGTCTTTTAAATGTAATATGGGCAGTAACCACCTCACACTAATGTAAATTTAAAGTTGTTAGGTATATCATAGCAGAGGGTTTTTTTTGTAATCTCCAACATTTTAAAGTTTTGATGTTCCAGTGAACCACAGCTCATGAGAAAGCAACTAATTACTTTTTGTATTATTTGTAATCACCCCAGGACTTAATTCTCACCTACTCTATGTGGGTGTGCACATATACATAAATTTAGCTATTGCACACATAACTGATTTTACATGTGCCAATATCACATAAGTTCTAGAGCAGCGTTTCTCAGCCTGTGGATTGTGACCCAAAAGTGGGTTGCAAGAATATATGAAAGGGTGGCAAACAAGCTTTAAAAATGGATCAAAACACTTTAAAAATAAATTCTCCTTTAAAGGAGAATAACGTGGGAGACCGTGGGGCTGCAAGGGGCTGTTTGGGGCCCATATGTCCCACACACACACCTTTGGCCCACCCACACGTGGGGGGGTCTGTGGGTGGGGTGCACCGCCAAGACCAGGGGGCTGTTTTCTACTTAAACTATTTACTGGGTTGGTACCGGACATCAGTGTTTACAAACAGGTCCTAGTACAAGAAAAGGCTGAGAATCACTGATCTAGCACTCACATAAAGATACAGAGATAGGCATTTATTTCTCCTTTTATGATCTAGCAGACAGAACGCTACATTACGCAACCTACAGAAGCTGTATGCCTCTGAATAGTGATGATCTTTCTGTAGCAAACTACTACTATTAGTAAATTGAGGAATTGACTCTACAATGTGCTAAACTTCTTCCACTGAAGCCAGAAGGGATTGATGTTCAAGCAGGTAAGCAGCTCACAGGAGGCAGTCAGCACCCCAAAGGATCAGCTCTTAAACTACACCCTGCGCTTTCATGCCTGAATATGGTTAGAAAAATGACTCAGTACAAATGGAGTCTTGGTCCATTTCTATTCTCCCAACGTCCAAGCGCGCACAGGTCAAAAATCAGATTTCTCAGCTGAAATCCCAGCTATGAACTTGAAGAAACACGCAACGCGATTGCTTCCTCTTCAGTCCAATGTGGCCACCACTGATGTTGGAGGGGCAGCCAAGTTTCTGCCATCACAATGAAGCTGGACAGAGGGGATGACAATACCTGGGGTAAATGGGAATTCAACCGCCTGGATCAGCTGCACTGACTTGGTTTTCGAGGAGGGGCCGTTTAGTACTCCCAGCAGCAGTGAAAAAGACAAGCCTCGCTGGAGAACACATGCAGAGCAGCGGAGAGCCACAGCGTCTGGCAACTCCAGACAAAAAAAGATCAAGGCTCCGCACTTCCTAACCACTTGCCTCGTCCCCTTGCACCAAGACGAAGGAGGCAGAAACAATGGGGTGTTTACACGGTGCTCACCGATGGAGCAGCCCGATCGCTTGCTGCTGGCAGCCCGGAGGTCCGAGGGGGTAGAGAGGGGGAAGCCCGCACTGCCCCGAGCAGGGCACGGCCGCGGGGCCACCACTCCAATAGCCCCGGGGAGCCGCCAAGAGCCGGGGGCCGCGGCCGGGACCGGGACCCCCGCGGGCCGGCGAGGCAGGCCGGGAGCGGTGACATCAGCGCCGCCGCCCGCTCCTCCCACCTCCAACGTGTCAAGTACAATTTACAACCCGGCCCCCGGCCTGCGGCTCCCGCCCCGCCCGGCGCCAAGCAGCTGCGGCAGCTCCCCAGGGCGCCGCCGGGGCTCGGCTGAACCCCGGGGGACGAGGGCCCCCCTCCCCCGGGGCCGCCGCCACCGCACCGACCTGGAGAGGTGCTTGAGGATCTGCTTCTTGATGATGCCCGCCATGGCCCGCGCGCCCTCCCGGCCCGGC